TTTCCAATCGTTGTGGATTTATCGTTGTGGATTATATGACTTTTTCCAGTGGATTACAGACTCTGTTTCCAAGGGGTTAAAGCATTGCTACAATGGAATTATCAACAACATTATGGAATTATCATCAACACAATGGAATTACCATGAATATTGTGGAATTACCTTGACTTTGTTTTCTTTGCTGGATTACTTTTGACTTTTGTTTTCCTTGCTGGATTACTTTTGACTTTGGTCTTCCTTGCTGGATTACATCAAGCTCAAGGACACTTGAAGGTGTAAGTTCACAGTTGGAATTCATCCCCATGGACAGGCAATGATTTCCAAAGGGGGGACTGTAGTGAACTTGACCTGATGTCAAATCAATGACCTTAGGATCATATGGTCAGAAACTGTCATTTCATTGATCTGCATCCAGAAATACAGTTTGACCCATCCTGAGACTTTCTTTCTTGAATTAATCAAGTAGAAAAGACAATTCTCTATGATCATTACTATTTTACAAATGTTTTGATAATCAAATTGTGTTAGTTCAAACAATGTTTACAGGTTGAAGTGAACTACTCATTTTTATTTACTTAAACAGTAGTAATGATTTTTATTCCTCATTCAAAGAAGAAATCAGGGTAATATGCATTTCTTGATTTTTCTGTCTTCAATGAGCAAATTTGTAAGTGTGTTAAAGTTCGAGCTTCGGTCAACTAAAAAGTTTACTGAAAAGAAATGTCATGTTTAACTTTTACAGCAAGATACAGGAGAGGTGGCACCACGAAGTCTGGTTTTTCCATGATATCTTTCTGTCTGTTCTTAAACAATCCTTGACTTTCCATAACACCTTACATCACAAACCACACCTCTGTTCTGGTCCATCCACGAATCAGAAAGCTCTCAAATGAACTGGGAAGTATACCCCGTTTAAATGTGGCAACTTCCCAGTTCAACAGTAGAGTTGAGGATGGAAGAGTTTCCAGAGTTTTGAGAGTTCACAAAGAGTTCCAGAAGAGTTCTTGGAATCCAGAATGCAGAGCGTTTGGGAGTTCATGGATGCTGCTAGACCAAACAAGCTAAACCAGAGACGATTTTGGGAATTATAACTTCTGTTTGGATAACCTCATTAATAGAGGGGAAGGGAAGGAAAAGATGTGGTAGAAAAAGTGTACAAGCAAAACCCTGGAGAGGATTGTTGTAGGTGCGGGCAACCCAGTTGTAACGAGACCCAGAACGACACAAGACTCAGGCTACGAAAAGTGATGTTTATTTACAGTGAATAGAAAATATATTCAATATACCATACCATACCATACCATACCAATTTATTTATATAGCACTTAAAACAGCAACAAGGCCAACCAAAGTGCTGTACAAAGGAACCAAACATGCACAGCAGACAGGAAAACATAAAATAGAAATACAGATACAAATAGCAGCAGAAGCTAACTAAAATGGCCAACAGAGTAGAGAACAAATCACACCGTGTTAAAGGCAAGCGAATAGAAGTAGGTCTTCAAGCGAGACTTAAAGACTGAGCGTGTGGGAGCCTGCCGGACACTCAGTGGCAACTCATTCCACAGTCGTGGACCTGCGACAGAGAAAGCCCTGTCACCTCTGAGCTTACTACGGGTTTCTGGGACTGAGAGAAGCATCTGGTCTGCTGACCTCAGAGAGCGCGGTGGGACATATGGCTGCAGAAGATCAGTGAGATAGGATGGGGCGGAACTGTTCAGTGATTTAAAAACGTACATGAGAATTTTTGAAATGGATCCAAAGGTGAATGGGTAGCCAGTGCAGGGAGGCCAAAAACTGGCGTGATGTGCTCTCTATAGCCTGTACCAGTTAAAAATCGGGCTGCAGCATTTTGGACCAGTTGTAGATGAGCAATGGAGGACTGACTGATTCCAAACAGAAGTGAATTGCAGTAATCAAGCCTAGATGTTATGAAGGCGTGGATCACTGTCTCAAGGTTCTTTTTGGAGAGTATAGGCTTCAGCTTAGACAGCCGTCTCAGCTGAAAAAAACAGGATTTGACCATCATGTTTACGTGACTGTTGAGTTTTAAGGACGGGTCCATTATCACCCCCAGATTAGTGACCTTTTGTTTCTCTAGCGGGGCTAGAGAGAAAAGGTCAATGTCATGGTTCATGAGTGAGCCACTGGGATGGAACAGCATGACTTCAGACTTCTTCTCATTGAAGCTTAAGAAGTTTAAAGCCATCCAGTCCCAGATGTCAGCCAGGCAGTCAAGAAGAGGCTGAATAGAGCGTGTGCCTCTGTGCCTCAGGGGGAAGTAAATTTGGCAATCATCGGCATAGAAATGAAAGGGTATGTCATGTTTGCGGAAGATGGCACCTAGTGGCAGCAGGTATAAAGAAAAGAGAAGGGGACCGAGGATGGACCCCTGTGGTACCCCCCACTGGAGCGCTGTCGATGCCGAACTAAAATCTTTGATATTGACACAGAAGGTTCTGTCAGAGAGGTAGGACCCAAACCATTTAAGGGCTGACCCTGTGATGCCCACCCACTGCTCCAGTCTAGAAATGAGGATGTTGTGGTCGATTGTGTCAAAAGCAGATGTAAGGTCCAATAGGACAAGCAGCACAGAATCACCTGCGTCTGTAGATATGAAAATGTCATTAAAAACCTTCAGTAGAGCAGTTTCAGTGCTATGGAGAGATTTGAAGCCAGATTGGAATAACTCAAGGATAGCGTGATCCCCCAAAAACTGTTTCAACTAAGACGCCACAATTTTATTTTATTTTTTTTATATACAGTATAATATATTTATAATATATACAGGGCCCTGGGACTGGAACTCCTGGAAGAGGGAAACAGTTTGTTCAGGTCGGGAGCAGGTAAGTGACACAGGAGAAAAGGATCTGATATTAGTCGTTTCTGTCTTACAGCTTCTTCGGTACTGGAGTGAGTTCAAGAGTCCCAAGATGCATGAGTCCCAGCAACTGGGTTCAGATATCCAAGGTCCAAAGGTCCGGGTTTCGTGAGACCAGACAGGATGTCGAGAGATCAGGACAGGAATGGCACGGCCAAAACGAGGAACTGCTGGCATAGGAAGCACAAGGTCAGTATCACAAATACTTGGGAACATAAAAGGCTGAGAGCACTAGTACCGGGAGGGAATCAATGCTCCAGCATCGAGTAGTCTTGACTGCAACCTTAAATGTGAGGAGTGGTGGCGCAGAGGTTAGAGAGGTGGGCTTGTGATCCGAAGATCGCCAGTTCACACCCCGGCCCTGACAACATCAAAAATTGTGGGTGGGGTAGGTGAAACACCCACACTTGCCCCCACCCTCATTCGCCCCACTCTGGGCCCATGAGCAAGGCCCTTAACCCCACCATGTGCTCCCTAAACAGGTCTCTCTTGAAAATGAGTTCTCGTGGCTCAATGAGACTAACCTGGATAAATAAAGGCTAAATGAAAAAAAAATAAAAAATAGGTAGGAGTCGATGCTCATCAGGGAGATGACCGCCAGGTGTAGGTCGTTAGCGGCCATCTTGGGAGCTGCAGCAGAGCTACTCTCACAAGGATGGTGAAACAAAACCCATTCCAAAATGTGGGGGAGATTCACAAAGAGTGAACTGCAGCTGGAGTCAGTTCTTCAAGAACCACCACGCACAGACATATGCAAGACATGGGTTTCGTCTGTCACTTTCCTTATGTCAAGTCACACTTGAACAAGAGAGTGTCAGAAGCATCTCACCTGGGCTAAAGACAAAAAAGACTGGACTGCTGCTGAGTAGCCCAAAGTTATGTTCTCTGGTTAAAGTAAATTTTGCATTTCCTTTGGAAATCAAGGTCCCAGAGTCTGGAGGAAGAAAGGAGAGGTACAGAATTAACATGTCAAGTTTTAAGTTTCCACAGTCTGATGGTTTGGAGTGCCATGTCATCTGCTGGTGTTGGTCCACTGTTTTTTTTCTGATGTCCAAGGTCAAGGCAGCCGTCTACCAGGAAGTTTTAGAACACCTCATGCTTCCTGCTGCTGACCAACTTTAGGGAGATGCAGATTTCATTTTCCAACAGGACTTGGCACCTGCACACAATGCCAAAGCTACCACTACCTGGTTTAAGGACCATGGTATCCCTGTTCTTAATTGGCCAGCAAACTCGCCTGACCTTAACCCCATAGAAAATCTATGAGGTATCATGAAGAGGAAGATGTGATACACCAGACCCAACAATTCAGATGAGCTGAAGGCCACTATCAGAACAACCTGGGCTCTCATAACACCTGAGCAATGCCACAGACTGATCGACTCCATGCCACACCACATTGCTGCAGTAATCCAGGCAAAAGGAGTCCCAACTAAGTATTGAGTGCTGTACATGCTCATACTTTTCATATTCGTACTTTTCAGTTGGCCAACTTTTCTAAAAATCTTTTTTTTAATTGATCTTAATATAATAATTTTCTGAGATAATTAATTTGTGGGTTTCATTAGTTGTCAGTTATAATCAACATTAAAAGAAATAAACATTTGAAATGCATCAGTCTGTGTGTAATGAATGAATGTATTACATAAGCTTCACTTTTTGAATGGAATTACTGAAATAAACCTTTTTTCAACCTTTTCATGATGTTCTAATTTTATGACCAGTATTTACAAGGGTTGATCAAAATGGCTATAATCCATTTCTCAATATTGGATGATTTTAGGTTAAAATTCTAGGATGACAGGCAGTGGGTGGTATACATTCAATATGTGTTTGAAATGTGTTTTAATTTATTTTATTCTTGTTTTAACATAATGTACAAAATCAATCAAAATCACTGTTGAAAAATATCAGATCACTGACAAGCAGGCTTAGTTTGAAACAACACTATGCAAGTTTTGTGGTTGGCAGCTGTAATGTTTATTACAATCAATGACAATGCTGATGAACACATACAAAAGACAGGGTAATAATAACACCTCTTTAAAATGTAAAACAAGTACAAATCTAAAAGCAAGTATGTTAGTGTATTGCCAGTTTATATACATATTTTTCGGACTATAAGGCGCATTAAGCAAAACAAAACATATAAGTCAAATTTTATTCAATTCATTCACAATAACTATATGATTGGAGGTCACTAAGCACAACCAGAGTTAATACATAAGGTGCACCTGATTATAAGGCTCACTAACGATTTTTCAGAAAATTAATGGATTTTAAGTGCGCCTTATAGTCTGAAAAATACTATAAACATTTTGCTACAGTGTGAGAAAAGTCATAACCTTTGTTTGAAGTCTATATATTATATATTTTGTTGCATAAAGTAAAATTTAATGGAATGTGTACACTTAACTGCTCAGAGATCTCGTTAGTGACAAGACACGCAGACTATGATCTACTTTTCAGGCTCTTAAACATGGTGATGATTCTTGAGGTATTAATAAAACTCAAAGAGATGACTAGAATAGACTCATGATATTGACAAGAAAAAACAATAGATAAGGCAGTAAAGGCTTTCTAACAAATGCTCTACCCTGTTTCAACATAGAACAACAACACACATTAAGTTAGTGCAATCAGGGTGAAGAAGAGCCCTTTGTTGTCATGTCATGGTCCGGAACGATTCATGGAGATGGGTACCGTCTGTTTTGTGTTGTAGCACCTACATAAATGTTTTTGTTTGTTTTTGTTTTGTTATTACTAGAAGTGTAACATGAGGGTCAGTAGTTAGAAGGCTTTTTTTCTTGGTGGACAAAACCATTCTTAATCAATCATGGAGCTCACAGCATACTCCTCTTTGCTCAGCCAACAACTAAAGTTCCCTTAGAGATGTCCATGAGACGTGTGTGTTTATCGTATGTGCATGTCTGTGTGTAAGTGCTGCAGCTGTGAGGGTCAATCACAGTTTGGGCTGATTGGCTAACTTAATCTTCAGGTTCTCCGCCAACTTGTCCAGAAAGTCAAAGGTGTTTAGGTAGTCATCACGTGTCACACTGGAGAGAGAAAACAAACAAACAAATAATTAATTATAAACACACACAAATTTAAACTTTTTTCAGCTACTTTCATCTGTTTTTTCATCTGTTCTGTGCTCCTTTCTGATTCTTTCAGCTAACTAAAACTTTTTTTGTTGTGCTTTTTCTAACTTCTTTCTGCTAATGTCAGCTTGTTATGCTCCTTTCAGCTTATTTCTGCATATTTCTGCTACTGTTCAGCAGTATGTTCATTTTAGCTTTTTTTTGGCTAACTCCACATTTTTTGCACTCATTTCAACTTTTCTCAGCCTATTTCATCAAAAAAAAGGAAGTGGAGAGACAATTCCTTCTGATAATTTAGGCTTGTTCTTCCATTTCAGCTAAATTTCAGATTTTTTTTTTTGCTGATTTCAGCCATTTTTCAGCAAGTTCTTCTGCAATAAACATCCACACTGCATTTTTGCAGGAACTGTGATTTCTATAGCTGCACTTGAAACTCAGCATCAACACAACTACTGCATGTTCACATCAGTCATTTGGTTAGTGTACATGACTGATGCCTTGGCTGATATGCCGTTTGAAATGTAGTTAAACTCTTCTCCCAGCCTTCCCAGCAACCTACTTTGTCAGCCAGGTTACAAATGGCGTGCAGCCACTTCCAAGGTTAGGATCATAAAATAAATTGAAACACATAAACAAAAAAATGAAAGTAAAATAATCGAGCTTCTGAGCATATTTGCTCTCCCCTCATTTATTTACGAGTTCAGATTTGTATGATAGTGTGTAAATAAACTAAACTGTTTGTGAACATTACCACCATAGACATGCAACTCTTAATGTTAAAAGTTACAGATGCTGTCTTTGGTGCCTTTTTGTTTTCCATATATATTAGGTGTGTGCAAATGACAGGCAATCAACACTTTGTAGAATGGTGCTGTATGACGTTCTGACCATTTCTTTGTATTAAATAACCAGCAGTTCCACCACATTTAAAATGGCGGCAACGTCTACATACGATTCAGCGCTCAATGGGGCGTCTACATATACAGGTGCTCGTCATAAAATTAGAATATTGTGAAAAAGCTGATTTATTTCAGTAGTTCCATTCAAAGAGTGAAACTTGTATATTATATTAATTCATTACACACAGACGTGATGTCACCTGATGCCACACTCTAATCAGCTAATTAACTCAAAACACCTGAAAGAACTTTAAATGGTCTCAGTCTAGTTCTGTAGGCTACACAATCATGGGAAAGATTGCTGTGCTAACTTGACAGTTGTCCAAAAGATGACCACTGACACCTTGCACAAGGACAACAAGACACAAAAGGTCATTGCTACAGAGGCTGGCTGTTCACAGAGCTCTGTGTCCAAGCACATTACTAGAGAGGGGAAGAGAAGGAAGAGATGTGGTAGAAAAAAAGTGTACAAACAATAGGGACAAACGCACCCTGGAGAGGATTGTGAAACAAAACCCATTCCAAAATGTGGGGGAGATTCACAAAGAGTGGACTGCAGCTGGAGTCAGTGCTTCAAGAACCACCACGCACAGACATATGCAAGACATGGGATTCAGCTGTCGCATTCCTTATGTCAAGCCGCTCTTGAACGAGAGACAGCATCAGAAGTGTCTCGCCTGGGACTGCTGCTGAGTGGTCCAAAGTTATGTTCTCTGATGAAAGTAAATTTTGCATGTCCTTTGGAAATCAAGGTCCCAGAGTCTGGAGGAAGAGAGGAGAGGCACAAAATCCACGTTGCTTGAGGTCCAGTGTCAAGTTTCCACAGTCTGTGATGGTTTGGGGTGCCATATCATCTGCTGGTGTTGGTCCACTGTGTTTTCTGAGGTCCAAGGTCAACGCAGCCATCTATCTACCAGGAAGTTTTAAAGACTTCCTGCTTCCTGCTGCTGACCAACTTTATGAAGATGCAGATTTCATTTTCCAACAGGACTTGGCACCTTCACACGGTGCCAAAGCTACCAGTACCTGGTTTAAGGACCATGGTATCCCTGTTCTTAATTGGCCAGCAAACTCGCCTGACCTTAACCCCATAAAAGTCTATGGGATATTGTGAAGAGGAAGATGTGATACACCAGACCCAACAATTCAGAAAAGCTGAAGGCCACTATCAGAACAACCTGGGCTCTCCACCTGAGCAGTGCCACAGACTGATCGACTCCATGCCACTCTGCATTGCTGCAGTAATCCAGGCAAAAGGAGCCCCAACTAAGTATTGAGTGTTGTACATGCTCATACTTTTCATGGTCATACTTTTCAGTTGGCCAACATTCCTAAAAATCCTTTTTTTAATTGGTCTTAAGTAATAGTCTAATTTTCAGAGATACTGAATTTGGGGTTTTCATTAGTTGTCAGTTATAATCATCAACATTAAAAGAAATAAACATTTGAAATATATTATTATGTGTGTAATGAATGAATATAATATGCAAGTTTCACTTTATGAATGGAATTACTGAAATAAATCAACTTTTTCATGATATTCTAATTTATGACCAGCATCTGTATATGTCTGTGATTACCACACAAACAACTATTGTTCACCAGTGTCCATTTATATAAAAAAATATTTTTTTTTAATCTTAAAAATACAGTTTTGGGGGTTGTGTATTGGACTTACAATAACTGTGCACAACTATGACACATAATACTAACTTTGGCAGGCTTTTGATACAGATAGCCAAATCCTTGGTCATGAAACCAGCCTCAATTGTCTCGATGCAAACGGCCTCCAAAGCCTCAGAAAAGAAGCGCAGCTCTGTGTTGTTGTCCAGCTTTGCCCGGTGTAGCAGACCTCGTGTCCATGCAAAGATGGAGGCTGAAGCAAACAAGAGTTACAAATTCAGGACACATTTTGGTATAAGAAATGAGAGTATGCTACATTCATACAAACTGCATCTTCCAAACATGAAATTCTCAGGAATACATGTTGCTTGCTGTTAGTTGTGCAGGCTTATTGTATTGTCCTACCTATGGGGTTGGTGGAGGTTTCTTTTCCCTGCTGGTGTTGTCTGTAGTGACGTGTCACTGTGCCATGTGCGGCCTCTGACTCCACTGTGCGTCCGTCAGGACAGACCAGCACACTGCTCATCATACCCAGTGAACCATAACCTAAGATCAAGTCACCAAACATATCACATCCCAAAACTTCAAATCTTGATATGATCATGAGAATCATGGAACTCATATTTTTTGTTCCACCAACCTTGTGCCACAGAGTCAGACTGTACATCTCCATCATAGTTCTTACAGGCCCAAATGAAGCCTCCCTCTGACTTCATGACCTGAGCCACCATGTCATCTATTAGCCGGTGCTCATACCAAATTGACTTGGCCTCAAACTGAGCACGATACGCTCTGAAAAACACAAGACGTCACTTTTAAGTTCTATTCTCCATCTGGTACAGTTCATATTTGATTGTAGTTTTTGTAAAGGTGTGTGTGTATTTTAAAGGCCTTACTTCTCGTAGATTTCCTGGAAGATGTCTTTGAAGCGACCATCATACTTCTTCAGGATGGTGTTCTTGGTGCTAAGGTACAGAGGCCAGCCTTTGGACAGAGCCATCTGGAAGGAGCTGTGGGCAAAGTCCCTGATGGACTTATCTGTGTTGTACATTCCCAAGGCAACACCACCTGTGCCTGAAGCAACACAATGACACAAATTGCTCATACAGTATGTTCACATAACCAGCATCAACACAATCATAGCAATATATAGTACAAATGTTTATTCCCCAAAACACTGTAACTAAGCATAGATAATAAAAACTACAGAAAAACCTTTAAAAAAAAATCTCCTTAACTGGTGATCTTTTTTATTTGATCATTTTTTGGTATTTAGTCCATGATGCAGAACAGATAAGTTGCAAGAGATTTTATACCAAGAAAAATAAGAGTAGGTGTCTTCACATAGCAAAAGATGGATGACAGTGATACTGAAAAATGTCCTGAATGATCAGACCTTTTATATACTGCTGTGAATTATCACTGAGCTTACCCTCAAACTCATGGATGGCATATTTGACTGGTTCTCCATTTGTGGGGGTGTATATCATCTCCACTTTTCCAGGGCCTGGCACGACAAAGTCAGTGGCTTTGTACTGTGGAGAGCACAGTGAGGACAAAGGAGGATCATTATTAGACACCAACTTGACTGTTTAAACCCACTAAATGCCTCAGGTCTTAAAATGCATCAGCTAAAAATGGTGTCTATTCACATGGTGACCACATCGATAAGCAAATGGTAAATGGACTGTACTTATGTAGAGCCTTTCAACCAGGATACTCTTAATGCTTTACAACACGTTTGTTGCCCTCATTTACCTCCACACACATCCATTGAGCACTCTACTACATCTCTACAAAAGTAATCTGAGTAAATCATTCTATAGAGACTAATCAGTGCTTTAGATCACATTCATACACCAGTAGGACACATAGAAGAGAATGAGGGGTAAGTTTCTTGCCTAGGGACACTTCGTCATGTGACTGCATCCTGGTGGAATTGAATATGTAACTCTATTATTTGAGGATGACTGCTTTAACCACTCAGCCACAGCTGACAACTAACAATCTTAATCTATCCATTATATAACCAGCAAGCTTCTGACCCTTCATCTGCACTTACAACTAAAGACAGAACTGTTGACTTTGGCATTGCGTCATGAGCTACATAGACATTTAGTGTTGCAACATGTCAAGGCTGCAGATGTAGGTCCAAAGAGCAGCTGATGGAACAGAATGATTGTGTATCTCCTGGAAACGAGTTGACAGAGAAAGTGCTCAGTTTTGCAGTAATTGAAACCTTTGTATGTGCTTCAGCAATAGCTTCGTTAGATGACAGAGGAGCTGGTTTACCATTTTAAAACTTGCCAATATAATTCATGAACCAATTTAGCATCTTACAGTTCTTGTTTAAAATCATTAACCCTTAACCCTACACATTTTATATTTTGAAATTTCATACTTTCAGACTCAAACTGTGAAACATTTGTGCTAATTCTTGAGCCATTTTGTGCGTGTTAAAATCTGCAATTTTGATGTGAGTGTTTATAATGGGGATGTCCTGATCTGATCTCAAGTGATCTGATCTTGGATCAGGGTCCAGATCAAGATCTTGATTTAAGAAGCTGACCACACCACTTCTGATCTCACTTGTTGACCTTCTGACTATGGTTTGGAAGGATTTAAAATAAAATATAAAATAAAATATAAAATGAGAGCCGTTCAATAGCTACATGTATTTATAACATCTGCAGTATGAGTATATATTATCATTTTAATTTGTCTTTTAAAACACGCTCAGTCCAGTGCACTGAGTTCACCTACTGTAACGAACTCTTAAAGATAGCACGACTCAGTGACAGACTTTAGAGAAAACTATGATGATGCAGCTGCAGTCAAACCCGGTGCCACCATTTTATGTGCATATCTGTGATGCAACTTATCTTGCAAAAAGATGTGAAGCTCTCGACCTTGACCTCTCTAAGTGGCTTCAAACATCTGCTAAGTTCCTGGCAAAAACCACTGCAGACATGTTCCTGTTTTTAGTTTTCTACATTGCCTTACAACCTAGCTGTTTTTTTGTTACATTGTTTTTAATACCATTTTATTTTCACTTGTTATTCTCAATTTGTATGTAGGCCTGTCACGATAACAAATTTTGCTGGGCAATTAATTGTCTCAGAAATTATTGCGATAAATGATAATATTGTTTGAAATTTGACAATAATTAGGAATGTCAAATTTAAGTAGAAATGTTGGTTATTTTTGTGTGTAGTATCAGTATTTTGACCACTGGATGGCAGTATACGACTGAACTGAAGGATGGATGGGAGGGAGTGTGTCTCTTTAAATTGGGAGGGAGGCCCCTTGACCTGACATGGGCTGTCTCTCCTTCCTGTTTTTTGGTTCTCAAAATAGCGGACGCTCTGTGTGGTTTGAGCTCTTTAACATAGCATTTTTCACACAAAGCTTTTAATAAAAAAATCAGTAAACAAGTTCTCAGCTTCTTTTTGCAGAGAAAAACAACTTCTTAGATGAAGGCACAGGTTTCAACCATGAATTTTGGAGCTTCAACAAGACGGAGGCTTTTTCCTGAGGTCAGCCTGTTAGCTTAGCTCGTAGCTTAGCTTCTCAGCTTAGCTTCTTTTAATGATCCAAAAACATGATTTTGGACGGTTAAAACAAATTTTAAAGATAAAAGAGAAATGGAGGGGTCATGAAGAGCACCGGAGTTGAGCCTTTTGTCATCCAGTGTCTTCAATAAAAAGAGAGACACGAAGAAAAGATAAAGCTGATAAATGAAAACGAGGTAGATAATTTTCATTTATCATGCGATTAAATGATTTATTGTTTATCGTGACAGGCCTATTTGTATGCATCTTTTTTGATTGTCTATTGTTGTCTTTGTTGTCATCACTCTTTGTTAAAACCAGGTCTCTCTTGTAAATGAGTCCTCGAGGCTCAGTGGGATTAACCTGTATAAATAAAGGTTAAATTAATGAATCATTATGACTATGTCCATCTTTTACATACAAGTATATTTTAGAAAATGTACTTATTTATTTAAGAAAACACACAAGAAACAAAAATGAAAATGCAAAATATACACACACACATACATACTTAACTGGATAATACTAAAATTAAACCACATGATTTTTAAGACTAACTGTTTTTTTTTCTTCTTCTTTCAGCTGCTCCCTTCTTCAGGGGTCACCACAGCGAACTAACTCGCATTAAGACTTCACAATTGTTTTTACGCCGGATGCCCTTCCTGACACAACAACAGACCACTGAGCTAGAACAACCTTCTGTGTGGAGCAGAGAGCTGCTCTCTATTGCGCCTGGGGGAGCAGATGGTGGGGGTTAAGGACCTTGCTCAAGGGCCCAGAGTGGGGCAAATGAGGGTGGAGGCAGGTGTGGGTGCTCCACCTTTCCCAGCCACATTTTGATGTTGTCGTTTCAGGGAGTAGAACCAACGACCTTCTGATCACAAGCCCACCTTTTCTAACCTCTGCACCACCACTCCCCATTAAGACGAACGCTTAAAAGTTTCAAATATCCATCTTTTTTTCATTCAACCTTTATTTATACAGATTAGTTTCCACTGACCCCAGGGACTCATTGACAAGAGAGACCTGTTAGGTCTTGTGTTTAGTACAAATATAAAAACGGTACCAAAAAAAAAAACCAAACCTAAAACTTAATTTACATTTCTTAACTCAGCAAGAAGTTTCAATAAAGTGCAAGATTGTGTTACCTGGTCTCCGTGTGCGTGCCTGCCGATGATAATGGGCTTCACCCAGCCAGGCACCAGACGGGGGATGTTGTTACAGATGATTGCCTCCCTGAACACTGTGCCTCCAAGGATGTTCCGGATGGTTCCATTTGGTGAACGCCACATCTTCTTGAGCTTGAACTCCTCCACACGCTTCTCATCTGGTGTGATGGTGGCACACTTGATACCTACGTTGTAACGCTGAACCGCTTCTGCTGCCTCAACTGTCACCTGGTCGTTTGTTGCATCTCGGTTCTCCATGCCGAGATCAAAGCTTTGCAAGAGGAAATGGACACCAGTAAGCATAAGGTTAGTCAGAATATAAGGGTATCCAGGGACAAAAGGTTTAAGAATGACAAGTATTTTTTACCACAACGTTTGTTGCTTAAGAGTTTTTAGATCTTTTTAAATCAGACTTTTCTATAGTAGCTATATTGAACTATAATAACTTCATTCATTCATTCTACCTTTTTTAACAAGTGTTTAATGAGTTTCATAAGTTTTTACTGACGATTACAGAAACTTTTTTTTTAGTGTAGGTCCCTGTTTTTCAAGAATTCTGCAATTCACCTTGGCATGATGTCAATCAACTTCTGGTCCAAATACTGACAGATGGCACCCTGTTTTTACCTAATCAATGCATGCACTTTGTGAGGATTTATTTGTCTGCCAGGCTTGTCAAGAATTATAAGCCCTCAGTATTTAATGTCAGGAGAGTTTCGTGGCCATGACCCCTCTTATGTGGCTGGCTACTTCTGTGCATCACTTACATGATGGTACATGGCATCAAAAAATAAATTAAATTATGGAAAGAAGGCAAGCTTGAGTGAAGCAATGCTTTGGGTGATAGGTCGATGTTACTTTGACACCTCAATGATATATAAATACTGTATATACTCTGTTATTTTATTTATTTATTTATTTGTTTTATATTCTCTGTTATTTTTTATATCTTGTGATTCTTGTGTATGTTCTTTTGTATTGAAACTCTGGCACAATAATTTCATGAGGGATCAGTAAAGTTCTATCTTCTCTTCTCTGAGGTTTTCATGTAAATAGGAGTATACTGTGCACATGACCTTGGTAAAAGTACACAGTACAGTGTTTTCTAATAAAGTGTGGAAGTTGTAAGAAGACTTTAACCTGCTCCTTCAAGACCAGTGGCACTCTAAAGGAAGAGAGGGGTTTTGAGTCACTTCTGTCTAGATTATATTTTGAGGGGTTGTCAGATATATTTCTAAAATTACAGCACAGGAAGTCTTTTGCAGAGCATAAATAACTTTTTTTTTGTCAGACTGACAGATTTCTTTCCTAAAAAGATTTTTCATTCAAAGGGAGTTTTAAATGATTTCTGCTCATGTCATTTAAAATAGACCTTAACAATTTTTTTTTTACTTGTATAATTATTTTTTACAAACACAAATATATATTTTTACACACATTAATTCTTATCTTATCTATGCTCAAAAATGTAATTCTCAGACATTTTAGTTTACAAAGTGCAACATTTATTCACAACTGCACATTTAAACAATTTCCTGCGGGATCAATAAAGTTCTTATTCTGATTTGCAAACACAACATATTTATGACTGGAAGTGTAACCCATAGATCTCGTCCTTTCAGTCATAATCCATATCTTGTGACCATAAGTGAGGGTTGGGACATATTCAGTAACTCAAGGGCCTTGCCTTTCAGCTTAGGCCTGTCACAATAAACAGTAAATCAATTAATCGCATGATAAATGAAAATGACCGACCTCATTTTCATTTATTGGCTTCATCGTTTCTTCCGTGTCTCTCTTTCTACTGAAGACACTGGATGACAAAAGGCTCTTCACTGATCCCTCCCTTTCACTTTTCTCTTTAAAATCCATTTTAACCGTCCAAAATCGCATTTTTGGATCGTTATAAGAAACTAAGATGAGAAGCTAAGCTACGAGCTAAACTAACAAGCCGACCTCGGGAAAAAACCTCTGTCTTGTCGAAGCCCTAAAATTCACAGTTGAAACCCGTGGCTTCATGTAAAAAGTTGTTTTTCTCTGCAAAAAGAAGCTGAAAACTTGTTTACTGATTTTTTTTTATTAAAATCTTTGTGTGACAAATGTTATGCTAAATAGCTCAAACCACACCAAGCGTCCACCATTTTGACTAACAAAAACAGGAAGGAGAGACAGCCCATGTCACGTCAAGGGGCCTCCCTCCCATTTTTCTTAAAGAGACACGCTGCTCGCTCCCTCACCATCCATCCTTCGGTTCAAACAGTCTTATATTGTCATCCAGTGGTCAAAAAAGGTATTACACACAAAATAACCAACATTTCTTCTTAAATTTGATCATTACTAATTATTGTCAAATTTCAAACAATATTATCATTTATCGCAATAATTTCTGAGACAATTAATCGCCAAGCAAAATTTGTTATTGTGGCGGGCTCATTTCAGCTCAGCTCTTTCTTCACCACAACCAACCAAAAAGTTGACAAATTGTTCTATGTAACACAATTTATCCTTGTGATCCATAAAGTATCTGATTCTGAAAACTTATCTAAAAGTTTAAAGTGTTGATGAACAGATGACGATGATAACATACACGATGGGAACATCGTATGAGAATACAAGTTACAATACAGTATACAATACAAGTTGGAAAAAATTCACAGTAAAGTAAAAAGAAGGAGGAAGGTCAAACCAGAAAGACAGGAGAATTTATTGGGTATTTTTAGGTTCAGCAAACAAAGACAGCTGTAACTTGGTGGAATTTTCAATAAAATCTATAGTTTTATTTTTTTTTTTAAAGCAAAGTCCGTCCATCCATCTTCTTTTTACATGCTTTTCCTTTTTGAATTGTGGGGTGTTGGTTGCTTGTGTCTAACTCCAGCAACTGTGTGTAAGTTAAGGTACATAAGAAGTAAGTCCATTGCAAGGCTACATAGAGACAAGACAAACATTCTTTACTCTCACTCACACCTAGACATTTACCAATTAATCTAAAATGCATGTTTTTGGTCTATGGGTGGAAACCAGAACACCCGGAGTAAACCCACACATGCATGGGAATAATTTACAAACTTGACTCAGAAAGGCCAGGAGGTGAACCTGCAACCTTGCTGAGAGGCAACAGCTTCAACAACTGCACCACTGTGCTGCAAATCCTCTTATTAAAATGTGCCGTGTTATTTTAACAAGGTCAAAATGGCTCATTTTTCCTTCATCGAGTGTGAAAATGCCTTCAAAAAATATCTACACTAAAATATGTTAAAGTACTGAGTGTCCAACATTTTAAATGTGGACTTCTAATTTTGCTTTTTTTCTTGTGATAAGTGATAGTGTTGTGCCACCACACCTTCTGTTTTCAGAGTGAGGTCATCACAGTTTGAGAACATGTTTTGTCTTAGTGAACACTAACAAACCACAGCACAAATGTTCTTCTTTGTTAGTGCAGTACTTGGAAACTAAATCAGATAGAGTGATGTGTCTGTTTCACAAGTTGATTCCTTAACAAACAGCAATGAAAGAATTTATGATTAACAAGCTAAACAAGAAAAACAAGATTAGCAGTAACCGTCTCTTCCATTTATTTTAGTTTAAAAAAATTTTCAACTAGTATTTCATCAAAACTGTCTCGTTATTAGAGCTGAAAATGTTACTAAACTAGTTGTCAAATTTTAGAAAGTAGTTAACTATATTTAACAAATGTCAAAAGGTGAAGGTGTTTTGCATGTTTCTGAATGTATGTTTGTTGGTCTTGTCTTAGCAAAAAATCTCATAAAACACTAAACACATTTTATTCAAACTTGCAGAATCTAATAACTGGATGAACATCTCCACCTGATTTAGAGCACACAAATTTAATATGACCATCAAAGCCAATTTAGGTCTCAGACCACAATAAAACCTTTTAAATGAATAACATATGTCTTGATAAAAGAATCCTATGATTGACTGCATCAAATGCAGCAGTTCAATTTAAAAGACTAAAACAACAGAGTCAGCAGTTAAGAGAAAATCAATAGAAACTCCTGAAAGTGCCGTCTCAGTGAAAAGGAGGGATAAAAACCAGACTAGAAGTCTTCACAAACACCAAAAGTATCTGAAAAGATCTGAAGTTAATTAAAAAAAAAACTTTACTAAAATATTGGAGTTAAAGAAAATGTAGATGTTCACTTTCAGTTCAATTCAATTCTGTCTATTTATATAACGCCAAGTCATAAGTCATCTCAGGGCACTGAACAGAAACAGAAACACATACATACATACATACATATATATACATACATGTATATATATACATACATATATATACATACATACATATACATACATATATATACACATACATACATATACATACATATATATACATACATACATATACATACATATATATACATACATACATATACATATATATACATACATACATACATATACATATACATACATACATACATATACATATATATACATACATACATATACATATATATACATACATACATATACATATATACATACATACATATACATATATATACATACATACATATACATACATACATACATATACATACATACATACATATACATATATATACATATATATA